ACAGCTGGGTTCAAGATGCTGGTAGGTGAATAACATGGAACAGCTTACCAAGGTGGCGGGAATAGTGTACAGTAACATCGGTGCAGAGTATAGTCTAGAGGTCACCCAATCTGAGTGAGAGACAACAAAAAAGGTGATGGAGAATGATACGACTCCAAAGCAATAAACAGATGATGGCCAACCAACAGGACATTGTGGTTGTGGACAAAGCACAAAGCAGTACAGAAGTGATAGATGTAGCAATCTCAAGTGACAACAACATCAAGAAGAAGGCACATGAGAAGCGTGAGAAATACCAAGGACTCAAGGAGAAGATAGAGATGTGATAAGTTAAGGCCTCAGTGGTGCCACTATTCATTGGGTACTTTGAGATGTAACCCCAAAACTGAGAGAGTGGCAGCAGATTCCGGGACCAAAGTCTGAGATTTCAGTCCAGAATAGGGCAGTCCAAGGAACAGTCAAGATACTGCGCAGAACCCTCAAGCTTCCAGGCCTCTGATAGTAGACCCAAGCTTGTAACCATTTTCTAGCTCACTGTTCTCTGCAGAATTGTTTTAATTAGTTTACATTGAAAGGGTTACCAGCATAAACGACCTGTTTAAGACCTGCAGCATCTCGGTCAGATTTAAATCAATTGTAACTGTCTGAGTGGATAGAACGAGTTTATCCGAAGTAAATCAGATTCTCTATAACTGATGGCAGGTGTGAACTCAAGAAGATTGAATGCTAAAACTGAATCAAAATGTTCAAAGTAGATTTAGTCGAATGGTGTGCATACTTATGCATCCAGGTTGTTGCAGCTTTTTATTTATTTTTTTTACTACTTTTCCTTTATTAAATTTCTTTTTCACTGGAATTGCAGAGCTTAAATGTCCCAATAAATCCGAAAAACATCTAATTTTCTAATCCCAAAAGCTTGGCATTTTAATAGGGGTGTGTAGACTTTTTATGCCAAGTGTCTCTGTGTTGCTGAACTCAGGGGACATGAGTGAATGGCTTTAAAGGAGCAGTGTGTTTGTGTGTAATGAGATGGAAAGTTTAATGTGACACGCGGCCCCTCCTGTTCTGCTGATTTCAAGGTGTTTGTGGCTGCCGAACATTCCTGGGACCAGCTCGACTGGTTTCACTTTAATGCCCTTTTATCTGTGCACCTGTCTATGTGTTTGTGTGCTGCAGATTAGGTTCTGATGTCCACTGGGTGAGCTGTGCAATGGTGGAATGTCCTCTGTTATTGATATAAGCCCGGGTGTGTGTGTTTGTGCTTTGTGTTACATTGTGTATTGATTGTTGTGTTTAAAAGGATTCTGCAGACTGGATCTGTATGACTGTTCTGGGTGGAGAAGGGAAACCGTTCTGACATTAATTAATGATGCTGGTGTTATTATTGGTAAAGTTCACAATAAGAAGTTTATTTTCGTGTAAGGTTATTTAAAAAATGGTTCATATGATTTGTCTTTTTTTGTTTTTGCTATAAAGGCATTTCAAAAGTTTTTATTCTGGCTTTCCATCCCAGGCCAATTTGGATCAGTCAAGATTTTAACTAATTTTAAGGGATTGTGTGAACTTTCACTCATTGTTAATAACCATTTCCTTGATTTTTGTGTTTGTCAATCTTACAGCTTCTTATCTCCAGTCTAGAACAGAGCATTACATTCCAAGAAACAGCTGTAAATTGATTTATCTCCTATTTATCATGTTGTCTCTATTATCAATAAAGATACCTTTGCTAATTATGACCTTTTTAAACTGTGGTAGACCTTAAGTATCCCTGCTAGGATCTCACTCGATGGCACTGTACATAAATCCGTGGTAAAAAGAAGGTACGCCCTATTCCAGACAGTGTGTGTTGCTAAAATTGAAATGTACAAAAGCACATTTTTTTAAAAACATCACACTAATGTGTGTTGCCTTTTGGAAAATAGTATGTATTTAAATTATTAACTTATCACCTTATGCTGATGATACTCATATTTCTTTCACTGTTGAGTCACAATTAAAACTGTTAAAACTCCTTTTGTAGATGTGGCAACTAAGATGTTGATCTGGTTTACAAATGCTTTAATTAGCAACACCAAAATGCTGCTTTCCTCATGAATCACATGGAGGCAGCAAAGGAGTATTTAGTTCCTTCTCAATAGTGTCTAATGAATAATGATGGAATCTGTTGTGTGTTTTTGTACACTTAAGGTACGATATAAATAATTTTAGAGGATAGTTTTAACATTAGCAGCGACTTTAATAGAACAATAGCAAAAAGTGCCATTTGCCAATCCTTTAAGTGGTCTTTTAAAAGTAACCTAGACACTAATTGAAATTAAGAGGGATATTTTCAATCCTTGTCATCCTCTAACTTTGTGTGTTGTACTTTAGCCAAATTAAAATTAGATAAAATCTTCAATCTACGTTGATGATACTCTGATTTATTTCATTATTTAATCACAATTACTTATCTAAATTAATTTCTAGTATCATTTCACTTTGGCATTGTGTTAACACACACTTATATGCTCCAGACCAGTTTAGCAGTTTAAACCTCCAAAGTAAAATAAGCATAAATATGACCTCCAGGAATAATAGATCATGCTCTCTGGATTGGTCATGTCATCCTGATATCTGGCACAAGAATGAAGTCAGTATCAGGTCTGATAAAGTGTGAAGGTAACCTTGTACAGTCAAGGTGTTTTTATATTCCCTTGAAAATGGCAGTTTTTGAAGCAACTCCATATGGTGGTTTGTTTTTTTTTTGTTTTATCTTTGCAAACTATTAACACCAATTTACCCCTGGAAGCAATTTGTTGGGATATAAAAACGTCTATCTGAAGAATCCAGTATGGTACAGCAGAGAAGATCCATGAACAATAAGCAGGTTTTCAGACCAAAAACTGTCTTCCATGAGGTAATGAAGAGGCTGTGTTGTTTAGTGTTTGTAGCCTCAAGGCTGATCAGATGTCAGCCTACATCATGTCAGTTATTTTAAGTTTTACCGCAACAATTAGGGAGGAGTAATAAACAGCCTTCAGTGAGATAATTACCCAGAGATTTAAAGTAATATTTTGTCTATTCTAAAAATAAAATTTAGCAATAAATTAGGCAAAAAATTTTAACTTCTTAAAAGAAACTAATCAGAGTTGAGCATTTATCAGCCTTTTTGTGTGATTTATTCACCTACGTGGTAAAAAACAGTAATTTTTCTGCTCATGTCACAAGAGGAACAGATTGTTAATTCAGCTTCCAGGTCATTCTGGACATTGAACCCTGACCCTGTTCCCCGCTGTCAACACCACAGCTGACCTTTTAGCTCTGTAGCCTGAATAGAACGAAGCAGGCATTTATTTTGGTTGTTAATGTGGTTGTAGATTAGCCACAGTCACTCAGAGCAAGAAAATCAGTGCAGAACATCTAGACTAAAGTTAGAAAAATACTAGTAGCATGTAAAGTCACATCAAGTTTAAAGACATAAAAAAGAACATTACTTGGAAATCCAGTTTTTCCAATTTAGGGTTTGAAAAGATATTTAAAGTTCAGATTTGAAAACTTCACCATGTTTTTTTTTTGTCCAACTCTAACTTGAAATCATGTTGGATTCACCCTAAGTCAGAATTGGTAAATTAGTGAAGTAACTGGCTAATAATGCTTTATCTTTTATATGTTTAACATTCCAAACATAAAATCCAACTCAGAGTTGGAGAAATCCAAACTGCCATTATTTAATTTCGTTCTTGCTAATGAAATTCTGATTTCCCCTTATTCATTAATACACCAAACAAAGAAACTGTCATCACAATAATAAACAATAAAATTAATTTAAAACAGACAATATAACCAACATTGTTGATTTTATGGAGCCAATATGTGACTATAGAACAGAATAGAATAGAAATATCCTTTATTGTGCCTCAGTGGGGAAATTCAGGTGAACCAGCAGCAAAGTAATAGGCAAATGGAAGCATCCAGATTCACACAAAGGTAAAAATATATAAAAACAGCTGGGAGGAATACCTGTGATAACGCTCCTTTGTGCACCTAGGATGCAGCAGCCTGTCACTGAAGGAGCTCTCCAGGTCTGCAACAGCTTCATGCGTCCGGTGGGAGATATTGTCCATCACGGATGTTATTTTTGCAAGAGCTCTTCTGTCTCCCACTACCTGCACTGGATGGAGGGGGGATGCTAGGACAGAGCTGGCCTTCCTGATGAGTTTATCTAACCGCTTCCTCTCAGCTATAGATAAGCTGCTGCTCCAATATACTACAGCATAGAAGATGGCTGAAGCCACCACAGAGTCAGAGAAGATCTTCTGGAGTCCGCCTTGCAGTTCCCTTGCCTGCTAACCTGGGCAGCAGTATTTCGCCCACAGCATGTCAAAGAAAAATTGATAGCTTCTATGTTCACATTGGCGTTAAGATGTATCCTGACTCCAGGAGCCACAGTTTTATGGGGTATCCTATAAGTAAAAAAACAAACGATAGAATAATATGGGGTAAGAACGCTGTCAAAAACAATGTGTATGTAAAGACGGAAATGTGTTTTTGACAGCGTTCTTACCCCATAGAATAGACACTAGACCGGAGGAGACTGCAACGTACAACGGCGCAGGACTAAATTTGGCAGGATGGTGGCGTCCATCAGGGGTACGCAGTTGTGGAACACACCACCAGCTCATGTCAGGAACTGTGGCACTTTGCTCCAAATTTAAAAACTCTCAGAAAACTTCTCATTGGTTGAAAACTAACCAGACATATGTTCACAGGTAGATTGTGTGTTTCCCTGGGCCTGTTAATCTGAGTTTATTGTAAATTAATTTTATTAGTATCTTGTCTGTATGTGTCATCTGTGTTCTCTGTATATAGTTTTATTTAATGTTTATTGTCTTTACCTGCCTTGGGACAGCGGATGAAAATTAGCTCCAGTGCTAATTCCAGCATATTTACATTGATGCTTAAAGCTAATATGTTAATTAATGTGCACTTCAATTTTCATGAATTCCTTGTTTAGTAAAATTGGTGGTGTAGGCGTTAAGCTCGCGAGGCTATAGTCCTCGATGCGGCCGTCCCGGGTTCAAGTCCCGGACCCGGCAACCTTTGCAGAATGTCTCCCTCTCTTTTCTGTCTACCGACTGTCGAAAAATTAAAAATAAAGGCTTCTAGTGCCAATAAATTTCTTTTAAAAAAAAAAGAATAATTTGGAATAAATTTCCTGTCTATGGCCTTTCTGCCTGCAGGGAGTTTGATCCCGGATACATCGAGGAGTTTACCACACCAAACTCCACGGCCGCTCTTCGTCTTCCCTCACCTCCTCCTACTCTCTGTTTTCAATCCCCGTCACTGTCACCACCTCCACAACAGGAAACCCCGTCGTCCAGTCACAGCAGGCCATGTTCGGCGGTCCAACTACGCATCAGAAACCGGTAAGCGATGGCTCTGATTCTCAATCAGCTGGTCCTTTAACCTTTTACCTTGGACAGCAATAGCCCAGTGGTTTCTCAGGGATCCAACTGGTATCTACCAGTGGATGCTATCATGCTGAGTTCAAACATCATAGTGTTGAGGCTTTGGATGGTTTCTGGCATTGTTATTCGTAACATAAACAGGAATGAGGACGTGGATGCTGCTGGCTGGGATTTCCTGATGGTATTCTTTACTCTTCCTTCCAGTGTTGATAAATCAGTTTCTTTTACTGTCAGAGACCCAGACATTTAAAACAGGAAGCTTGACCGTCAGCTGTTGGGCCTTCACCTATGTTCTTGGGGTTTCCTGTCTGTGTTTTCTGCCTCCGTGTGATTTAATGTTGTATCTCAGAGGTCAAACTGGGATGAGCTGGAATCACTGTCTGGTGATTTTTAAATTAAAACTGAATTTGTTTCTGAGCTGAGGAGCATGGAAACTAAATGCTCCCTCCCCTTGTTGAATTCTGTTTCTGGGAACACCCTAAACCTAATAACTGGTTGTTCCACCTGTGGCAGCAGCAACTGCCATGCAGTGTTTGGGATAACTGACAATGAATCTTTTTCATCACTGTGGAAGAATTGTTTTAATTCAGCCACATTTGAGGGTTTTCCAGCATGAATAGCCTGTTTAAGGTAATTCACAGTATCTCAATCAGATTTAACTCCAGACTTTGACTAGGCCACCCCAGAATCTTAATCTTGTTGTATTTTTTGGCCATCCAAAGGTGGAGTCGCTGGTGTGCTTTGGATCATTGTCCTACTGCATAAACAAAGTGTCACAAACTGATGGTTCGACCTTTCCTTCAGAATATGGTTGCATCAATGACAGCAAGTCGTCCAGGTTCTGAGGAAGTAAGGTAGTCCAAACCATCAAACTACCATCACCATAGTTTACTGTTGGTGTGATGTTCTGTTTCTGAAATGCTGCTAGTTTTACAGCAGATGTAACAAGACACACACCTTCCAGAAAGGTCCACTTTTGTCTGATTAGAATATTTTCCCTAAAGTCTTGGGAAGCTTTTTGGTAAATGTGAGATGGGTTTTTATGTTTCTTCAGGTCATCGGGGGTTCTGGTCTTGGACCTCAACTATGGAGACCATTTTGTCTAGTCTCTCTTTTCATTGTTGAATCCTGACCTCTGACCTTAACTGAGGCAGTGAGGCCTGCAGCGCTTTAGATGTTGTTCTGGGTTCTTCTGGAACCTCCTCAATGAGTCATTGATGAGTTCTAGAAATAATTTTGGTAGGCTGGCTACTTCTGGAAAGGTTCTACACTGTCCCAGGTTTGATGAACCTGTGGATAAATGGTTCTGACTATGGTTCTCCTGAGTCCCAAAGCCTCTAGACATGGCTTTTTAAGCCTTTCCAGACTGACTTGCTTCTGTTCTTGAATTTATTTATCTTGGGGCATGATGTGTTGCTGTTTGAGATGGTTTAGCCTACTTCATGTTTTCATGTAGGTTCTGTTTTAGTGATTTATTCCTCCTGCAGATCCAACACACACCAGGCCTGAGTGTAGTTAGTAAAATTGAGGCAAATAAATATAATTAAAATCATCATTCAAAAACTGACTGTATTAACATGAGTTATTTTTGTCTAAACATTTCAGAAATCAGTTGGGGTACATACTTTATCAAAGCATGTTGTTATAGTTGGTAAGGACAGGACTTTCAGACTGATCCTCTGCTGAAGATCATTTTAGGCCTCATTCTTCATCTATGTGAAGAAGACTAAAATTAAGTGAAAAAGCAGCTGAAGTCCAACAATGTCTGTAATACCTTCAGAAAGCCTCAGAAATTGACTGCTAAGGAAAGAAAGTCTGACTGCTTGGAATGAAAACATGATGAAGTTACAGGTCCAAAACCCTGCCGACCTAGCACCGTCTGGTCACTCTGTACCCACAAACAGTCTATAAATACTAACACTTTACTCCAGCTTTTTTCAGCCTAATATGGAGCTCATCTTCTGTGGGTGTAGTGCACATCACCACCTCAGCATGGCGCTGCTGTCTCTGTTCGCAGCCCAGCTCCAGGACGTGTTGTTGAAGGAGGAATCTTCAGGTTTTAAGCTGCAGCGTATCAAAGGCAGCAACAAGTTGGTGGATTATTCAGACTCCAAAGTCGGACAAACAGCCGGAGCGGCTCCGTTCTGCCACTATTCCCCCGGGCCCCCGGTGTTATCAGATACCGCTCAGTCCAGGAGGGTTGGAAGGCCAGGCTCCTATTGGCTATCCTGAAACAGGAAGTGGGCCATCAGAGCCCCAGGAGGCTGGGTGTTAATCTGGAGAGGACAGATAGACTGATTTATAAACACAGGCTCCCTGTTTTATCCATGTTTTCCTTTCCTTTCCTTGACCTGCTTCTTCACTCCCTCTTTCCCACACCCTTCCCTATCCTTGTCTCCTTTCCTTGTTTTCTCTTCACATATCTCCTTCCCTCCTTTAGTTTTAATCCCGTCTTCCCTCCGTTACCTTTTAGACCTCTGTGTCTCATTCCTCCTACATGTTTCTTTGACTGAATCACCACATTCCTCTAAAACAGCATCACCTCACGGTTGCGTGAAATCCAAATACTCCTTCTCTCTCTCTCTCTCACACACACACACACACAAACACACACACACACACACACACACACACACACACACATAATGGACTATGGACTTCCATTTAAGTGACTTAAACCTGTTTCAAACTGGTTCTTTGGGGAGTTGTGTACCTGCATTCAGCGTTTCAAACAATGTGATTAATCACAGTTAATTCATGGTTCAGTAAAGAGGAGCAATTATATTTCCTTATAGGGGGGTAAATACTTTTTCACTCTGCAGAGCGTGGTGAGGGAATAGGTGAGCGACTCTGGGTCGGTGACTGAAAGAGATTTTACAAATTTACAAAAACATTCCCATCAGATTTCAGAACTTTGCGTAGGTTAACATGTTTCCCTTAATTTGTTTTATTCGTACAGTTCTGGTCCAAAGCAGGCAGAGAAATGCTCTGAGCTGATCCAGAATCTCCTCAGAACAAATTATGCTACTTTTAGTTTTAACCAGAACTTTTCTGCTCAGGTCCAGAAGCTCAACAATCACACATCCAGAACCATCTGTTCTGAGACCCAAGTTTCCATGCAGATCAGAGAAAAGATTATTGTGGATTATTCCCACGGCAACAGATAAACCTCATGATCAGATGACACACCCTGCAGTCATACAAACATGGCGGTCCTTCCAGTTTGTTTTTTCAAATAGAAAAGTGAAATATTTACAGCAGATTCCTCGTGTAACTCACTGCAGATCCAAGCCGGAAGAAGGTCCTGTTTGCCATCATGTTCCTTTTAATCACTCCTTATAATTGTTTGGAAGTTAATGATAAAAATAGTTGCTTTTTCTGGAGGAATGTGTGTTGGTTCTGAGTATTTATGAGCAAATCTGTTCAAATTAATTATTAATATGGAGTAATTCTGACTTGTCGGATATGAACTTGTGGACTGAATCCCGACTTATGACGACCCATGCCTTCTTGCTTACAGGCAGTCTGTAGGCATCTGTTTCTTCACCTGCTTTTGGAGAACTGACCATAGGTTCTCAGTGGGTTCAGATCTGGAGTACTTCCTGCCCACAGGTCCAAAATGTTAATGTTTTGATCTTTGAGCCAGTTTGTTATCACTTGAGCTTCGTGATATGTTGCTCCATCATGGTGTAAAATCCCAAAGATCACCAGATTGTTCCTGGACTGTTTTAAGTTGCATTTTGGGGACATGTTCCTCCTACTCTTTATTCATGGCAGTGTTGTTAGCAAGAATTGGGAGGTAGCCCACTTCCCTGGAGGAGAAGGAACCCCACACATGGATTAGATCAGGATGTGCTACTTTTGGCACCACACAGGACTCATGGTAGCTGTCAGCGTTTCTCCTCCAGATGTCCCAAACAATGGTAAGGAGGGCCCATCAAAGAAAGTAACTTTGGTCTAGTGTTCTGCTGTCCATCATTGCCCTTCCTACAGATTTTCAGTCCGCCCTGGTTGTCTTGGGCAGAAGCAGCTTCTTTGTTGCCCTTTGTGTACAAAGGTTTGTGTCCAGATGTACTCTTATCAACCTGCTGCCGGAGTCGAGTAAGCTCTGCCCTGATGGCTACGTCATTTTGTAAGAGACATTCCGGGATCCTGCTAAACACCCGTCCTGAAGCCTTCCTCTCTGCACCTCTCAGCTTGAAGTGCTTGAAGCTCAAAATGATGTCTGCATCTTTTCCTTGGTGGTTACCATTGCAAGCACTCGAAAACCATCATTTCAGCACATCTGCATCTCTTCTATAGCAATCAGTCTGATCATTCAGTGGCTGGAGTGATTTCAGCTAAATTATTTCACAGCTGCACCTGTTCTGATTGTTTGACTATACTGACGTGAAGCTGGATGGTCGGTCTGGGCAAAGTTACAGCGAACATGGGTTTTGTTAGAAAGCTAAATGTTTAACATATTACATCTATGAACTAATCTGTATCTGATCACTCTGAAATCATTTGAAAAGTTTAAAAGTAATAAAAAAATGAATGGATTAACCAGTTATCAGCATGAGAACCCCAATAGAAGCAGGTGACCTTAGAAAAGCAACTCGCTGCCTATCAATCTGGGAAGGGTTAAAAGG